GGTGCCTAAGAAGGCTAAGTACTGCCAGTGCACAATTCGATTGAATGCCATGATACCAAAGTGAGGGCACGTCATAAGCCTGATATCTTTAGCGAGGGAGTCGTATTCGGTCGCTGGAGAGAGGACGGTATTCGCTCCTGAGAAATGTTTTGCTTGTTGACCGTTCTCGGCCGTTCGCCGGCAGTGTTCTCGAGGAAAAAAAGTGGGAGAACTTTTGAAAGAAACACTACGTAAATGTAGTGAGAGGGAGGGGAGAGTTTAGCAAGCTGCTAAGCAGGGTAGGAATGCGCCCGAATGGGGACGACGAAGGAGGTCGTTTTCTGCCGAATTTTTCCTCAAAGGCAGGATGCGCGCAGACCGTCGTCTAAATATTAGCATCTCTTATTCTTTGAGGGGACTCTCCTCCACCGAGAGTAGCTATCTGCGGAATGCTACTATTCGGAGCACAGATTCCACGGTACTGAAGCGCTTGGATCGAGAATAAAAAATTGCTAATGGACCTGTCAGCGAGTGGAGGGTGAAACCTGGTTCCGGAAGGAGGGACGGGAGAAATGTCGGTGCCAGAAGACCGTCCCCACCTATCATGATTTCTTTCTCGAACAAAACTTATCTCATTCTAAGCTTGCCCAATCTTCCACTTTTTCACTTTCAAGAAGCTTTTCCGGTTTTTCCTCGTGAAAAACTACGGTGGAGCAGGAGCGGGAGAGGGGAAGTCAACGCCATACAACCGCTGATTTAAGCTAGCCAAACAACCACTGACTTTCAGCTACCAAAAATAGTAGTTGCATGAGAATCTGACGTCACTGCCGACTATGGAGGAGGAGCAGCTAGACGGCTGCAAACATACGATGTAAAATGTGATAACCCACTCGAAAATTTCAGAACACGCATACATAAATACACGCCAACTCTCATTCTTCTGTAGCTAGTACTTTTGTGCGTTCCACTGACTTATCGAATACTACTTTGAAAATAGGTTCTTTTGAATCAGCGACGCATTCCAGGCTTTGTAGTCAAAAAAGTAGTACTATTGCACAGGTTCGCTACGAAAATGGACTGTGAGGACACTTGCAAAGGCCGAAAACCGAGCGCAAACTCAGGTCAGTATTTGATATATCACTTCTCCGTGAATGTTCTATTCCTCGTCTTGCGAAGGGATCGTATCAATGCGCAGTCACTTCTTCTGCTCCAAAATAATAGGTTGGAAAGAAAGTCTTGTCACTGTTGTGACTTTTTTCTTTTCTATTTTTCAACTCAACGCACGATGGAAATTAGTCGACTTGTACTCGTCGTTGTTAGCCACTACAGTGCTCCACCTAATAGACAGATAAGCTTTCCCCCTCTCCCAGAACTGAGAAGGTTGCGAGTGGAGTAAGTCAGCGGCTTCTCGACTGATGTCATCAAAGCTGCTGACAGTTTTCTTAGCTAAGACCGTAGGAGTTTTCTTAGCTAAGACCGTAAGGAGCAGGTAGCAGTCGTAGGGGACCACGTCAGGAGAATATGACGAGCTCTGGTCTCTCAGCCTCAACTCCTCAACTTATTTGGTAAGTCTCCATAGCAGTACGGGACGAACGAGGTGCCCAAAACCTAGTCGGTCATTTCTCTGCAACAGTTTCCACCAGTTTCTAGATTTGAGGCGATAAAACGTAGACAGGTGACCTTGTGTTTCTTACTAGGGCAGGCCTCGTTGTGCAAGCATTCCCACCCGCGCCATCCCAAAAGCAAGCACAGGAAAATCTTCCAGGAATAGTGCCTGGTTTGGACCGCTAGGATGAATCTTCTCTTTGAGAAAGATACATGGTACTATGCGGGTGGAAATACAGAGGACCCATCTCTCATCTCCACCAAGCAGTCTCCCAAAAACCCCTTTTGACAAGGGCGGAGACTAGAGACTTGACCAAGGGGTCAACGGCGTGCACAGCGTACCATCGGTCATGGTATGAGTGATCCACTGAGCCAGTACTTTTCCGGTAGTCAAGGGCTTACAGGCGGTATACAACTGTCAAGTTAGGTATATCTAAGTTCTCTCGCAAGACTGCGGGTGGTAGCCTCCGGATCCCCTTGACTGCTTCGAGAAAGGTGGATTCTTCCACTCCGTGGAGATGTCCCAACCGAGGTTATGTCTTCGAGGGGTTGTGTGCTCCTTCCGCAAAGAGAGCGAACTAGTGGTGGACAGTCCCGATGGTTGGTGTCCTCCCGCAATGCACTGTTGATGTTGCGGTCAGCTGCCGTCGCTCCAGTGCTACGCGCAGACCGACACAAGAAGGTAGTGAGTTGAATGCTGTCCCTGTGAAAACTGACATTGTAATTAAACTAAGGGGAGACCAGGTGCCTTTATGTACCTCTTGTGGGAAAGCTCCTGGAATGTTCTACAGGCATAGCATGTTACAGTCCCTCACTGGGGACTGGTCGGAGCATGCGTGGGCGAGTGCGGTCGACGTCCGCGTTCAGTTCCCTTGCTCTACCAATAACGATCGGGTAAGAGATCGATTCAGGAAGGAAACAGCAAATGATGGAAACGCCGCATGTGAGAACCGCTGATTGCGACCCGACAATTGCGGTGATGTTAAGTACCTCATGTTCGAGCATGAAGAATCAAAAACTGCGAGCTGCTTGAAAAACGCTGACAGGACTTTCTTTCCAGCCTAATAAACACACTCGTCCCGTTGAACAGGATTTACCAGCCGCCCGTTTGAGCGCCCTAGGTGATAGACGCCCCTCTTCTAGCGTGTGTTCTAGTGTATTAGTGTGCAGTTGCATCGCGTGAAATTCCCATGGCATTGCGCCAAAGTGTCTGAATTCCGGTAAAGAAGGGCGCGAGCTCTGCGTGGGATAGCCCGTCAGCTGCATATTAGCGCAATCTGTTTCATTACTTACTGCGCGAAATGTGTTTAATATTTTTCAGGACTTTGTGAAATAACTCACCATGTGAATGGAAGAAACATCAAATCGCCTCTGATCGATCTTGTTTCAGCAATATGCTCCTATGATCCAGATTGGGGGCCATGCAATCATCTACGCTACATGTGGTTCTACAACGAAACTCGTGGTACCTGCGATCAATTTCTCTATGGTGGTGCGTTTCACTACATGGATTAGTCGAAGAAATGAAGGCACGGTCCACGCTGATTGTGTGGGTGGAGTCACTCATGTCAACGTGCTTCCCTCATTGGTACACTATTCTCTCTAAGTCGGTAAAGAGGGGCAGTGCACCAATAGAGAAGACACTGTGATAGACCTGACTCGACGTGGACTTCACCACCAAATAGCATCGATCTGAAAGGTTACCGATTTCAGGCTGTGAAGGAAATCCCAACAAGTTCGAAACATTCGAACTATGTCAGAAAACATGCGAAGTGTCAGGACTAGGTAAGACCATTTACACTCCCTTTTCCACAAGATGGAGTAGGCGTTGCTACGTACCTCATCTGGACATGGCGACGCGTTTTTCGAGGATATCTGCATCTGAGGCGACTGTTATTTTGTCGTGTGCTCGCCAAATAACGTATGTCCGCTGCCTCAAAACGGCAGTACCGAGCCACTGAAAGCGGGACCACATCTATGACCAAGCGATGAATAACCACGCCCTCTCACTCTCTCTCCCCAGGATGTGGAGTGTACGAAGAACACGCGACGAGCAAGGCTGAAACGCTCTTCTTTGACGTTATTACCCCATAACTATCTTTGACCGCGCACAGTCAACAATATATTTTGTCTTTTGTGTCGAAGATGTTGTTACATGGTGAACAGGACAAATTTCTGCGGTTTCAGATCCATGTCTGGAACCTTTGGACAGAGGAAGCTGGTGTGAGGCAATGTCAAACAGGTACGTTATTCATAACTCAGGCCATTCCATTGGTTA